ACCTAAATGAACCACGATCATTGTCTTCATAATATATTTCAAGCTTCCACTAACATGAACCCAGAGACCATGCCCTTATCCAATCTGTTTGTTTGCTGTTCTTGTAGAATGGCACACTACCAGGGTAAAAATACAATATGTTTGGCTCTGTTTGAACATTATTATTTGTCAATAAAAACATATAGAAAGGAAGTATCATTTTTCTTATAGTTTGAAGAGTGAGAAAATATCATTTTCTCATTGTTCTTCACCTGCCTTATCTATGAACCACCTTAAAAAATTGTTGCGTCATAAAAACTGATTATAAATATGGCCACTATTGAGTCGCTATGAGCCATGCCAATGGAAGTCCTGCAAGAAGTATTCAAGAAAAATCATTAACATGAACGAAAGTTTTCGTCGATTTCTTGCTCCTCACTTACGCAGATCAACTAATCGCAGCAAACCTTGTCTGTTTGGCCTTATCTTTAGCTAATTTTATGTTTGCATTTTACATGTATACTTATTTCTCCATATGCAATCGACATGGAAACCGAAGTTGGTGTAGTGGTGTTCGTGATTCCAGGTTAGGCTTTTCAAGTTGAATAAATTCCTCTTTGGAATTTACTAAAGGTTGTAAGCTTCTCAGTTATAAACTATTGTTTTATTTACAAAATCTAATGATTATTTAGATATGCCGAAATCTTGGTCACTCAAACCATGGACCTTTTGGGCTTCTGTCAAATTTCCTATGCTCTAACGATGCTTGAGTCGCCATCCCAAAATCAAATTCTTGAACAAACATTCTATAATCGAAATAGGGAAAATTTCATATAGAAGATACTAAGTTTGACACATTTCAAAATTAAGAAACAAAGTTTCAAATTTCAAAAATTAGATTTTTTAAAATTTTATTTGTAAAATAATTTATTAAACATATATTTTTCTAATTAAATATATTAAAGTCACAATTCTATGTAATTTGGTCACAATTATTTAATTAATTGGTCACAAATTAATTTTCGATCACAATTTATAAAATTATTGGTCACAACTAATTTCTTGATCACAAATCAAAAAATTTAAGATCATAAATTATTTCTCTTTCACGAAATAAATATGCTATAGGTTAAAAATTATTCATCGGTAACAAAAATCAAAACTTTTATTGGTCACAACTCATTTATTTATTGTAAATTATCAAATTAATTTGTCACAATTAATTTTCTCAATCACAAATTAATAAATTGTGAGTCATAATCACAATTTTAGATCACATATTATTTATTTGTCACAAATTAATCAATTATTGGTCACAAATCACAATTTGTATAGATCACAACTCATTTATTCATTGTAAATTATCAAATTAATTGATCACAACTTAATAAATCGTAAGTCACAATCACAATTTTTAGCTCACAAATTAACGATTATTGGTCACAATCAATGAAGTAATTGGTCACAAACACCCATCCCATCTCATCCCACCCACAACCAGCGCCAAGACATCACACACAGCACCGCTGTCCAACACCACCACAATCAATGAAATTATTGGTCATTTGAAGGTCACAAATTAACAATTCAACTAGTCACATTAATTTTTGATCACAAATCAACACCATCGCCTTACGGCACCACCGCTGCCACTTCCAACAAACTACCATTTTTAACTTCAAAACCACCACCCAACCACCACTAGCATTGCCTGCAAACCATCGCCACCGTTGCTTGCACTGTTGCACACCGCCTCACAACACCACCTGACCATAACCAAAAATTAGATCCAACACCACAATACTCACAGCTGCAACACACTTCTGTTTCTTCTCATTGTCGATTTCTGCCTCAACCTATGCCCGTAGAAAACTACACAACAACCACGCCAAGAACCTTGACGCCACCAATCCGATGGGCACCTATCTCTGCAAGCTCCATCGCTCGTGTGAGCGCCGTGCTGCCCTTGTACAGCGGTGTAAGCACCATCAGAGCCTCTATGCACGATGCTCATAACGGCGATGGTCTCCGACGATGACGGTCACTTTGTGAGGGGAGGGAAAGGTAGAGAGACGGGAATGGAAGAGAAAGGGAGAGGAAGGTGAGAGAGAAAATGATTAGGGTTTAACGTTAAATGGGGGTTTGAGTATATAAATTAGTTTATAATATAATTATTAATATTTAAAATTTTAATTATCATCTGACATTTGAAATAAAAAAACATAATTTCTGGCATTTGAAGTGTAATATTCAAAGTTCTGATTCCGTGTAATTACCACATCGAAATATCCACATAATCCAAACAGCAAAATCACACTTTAGAGATTCTAGAACCAAAATATTATATCTTTCCTTTCGTGATAAAAATTGATTCAAAGTACATATATAGTTTGGACAATACTAATCCCGCCAAGACTCAAGATGCCGCGTCAGTATATAACATCTATAAATCAAGGCATGGCCTAAGTATACAGTGCTCCATGTGTCTATCCGCGATCTCAAGGCCATCAAGAGACCTTTCTGACATTACTTGTATGTAGGTAGGGGTGTCAAACCGACTCATCAGCTCGCGGCTCGGAGAAACCGAGCAGAGGCTCGGGCCAAGCCCCATTCTGGGGCTTTGACTCGAGCCCAGGCCGAGCTCAATATTAAAAAAAAAGCAACTTGAAAAACATAATAATTAAAAACTATACAGCAGCTGCCTTTAATGGACAGCTAATCTGCAGCTTTATAGCTGCCAAACAGTTTGGCAGCTCTATGATTTAACGAGGCAGGTATAGTTGCCTTACTGTTCTTTGTGCGTAAAAAATTGAATTTCAAATTTGAAATTCAAATTTATTTGAGAAATGCGGATTTTTTTTTTTTGCAAGTTTTAGATCAATTTGTTTCAATCAATTTTAATTTACAATATTATAATTTTAAGAAAAATTGTACACGAAATATTTAATTAGGGGGTGTTTGATATACATTTTTATGTAAAAATAAAAATGTATTTTAAAATAGTAAATTGATGTGAAATGTGTGGTTGAGAAATAAGGAAATTTTTTTGATTTATATGTAATATTATTTTAATAAAAAGTGTATAGTTGAAAAAGAGAGAGAAAGTGAAAAGATAAAATAAAAATACCCACCAGAGCTATACACACAACTTCTTGTATGCATTTTGGTTTTGTGAAACAGAAAGAGAGAGTAAGCTCGACAGCTTCAACTTTCCCTCTCGAAATCAGCTCGATTTTGTAGTTTTTACGGGTAATTTTTTAATTTTCTATTCTTTTTTTTTTTTTTTGTCGTTTAAGAAATCAGGGCTAACGCTTGTTTTTTCGAATTGTTATTTGAATTGTTAATTTATGCTATTTTATGTTTTATTTTATTTTTTGTTATATTCAGCTGTGGTGGGTACTGGAAATTGAGATCGACATTTGCTGGGGTTATGAAGTTACGAAATTTAGCTAAAAGATGTGCAATGTTGAAGAAGATGTATAATGAAAATTTTGGAATTTTGATCTAGAAGTTAGAAGAAGCTCTCTGCAATATTTCTGGATCTTTTAGGAGTTGAAACCCCATATAATTATTGGTATTTTGTAAGAATAAGATTGCATGAAGTTATAAATTCAATTTGACGAAAAGTGGGAGTGGAGGAAAATTCAATGGAAGATTGGTCAAAATATGCACATGGTCCTTCCCATTTGTAGTAGTGCAGCGTGACTACACCTCATTGAAACGGATTGTTGCTGCACTTCCTATGCTGGCTAAGGCAGGGGAGGTGGCTACCAAGGATGACTCGTTGGCTGCTGAACAGAATGCTGATGCTTTGTTTGCAGTGATTGACAGACGGGACGTTCCAGGCAGGGAAACTCCTTTGCACCTCGCAGTGCGCCTTCATGATGCAACTTCAGCTGAGATTTTGATGGCAACAGTTGCTGATTGGAGCCTTCAGAATGAGAATGGATGGAGTTCTCTCCAAGAGGTAGTTTGTAATCGAGAGGATAAAATCGCTATGATCCTTGCCTGGCGCAACCAGCCTCTTGCTTGGGCCAAATGATGTCGTAGACTTCCTAGGATTGTGACATTGGCATCCAGAATTCGTGACTTTTATATGGAGATAACCTTCCAATTTGAGAGCTCAGTGATACCATTTATTAGTAGAATTGCATCGTAGTTCTAGTCTCCATGCAGATATGACCCTTGCAGGATTTGATGGGTTTCGTATTCAATTGTCTAATCAAACATCGTCCATTTGATTGAGCAAAATGACAGATTCAGTAATGCTTTTTGGATGATTTTTTGCATTAATTGTTATTTTTCTGGCCTTATAAAACTACTATATATAGTTGTAGTTGTCTTCAATTAAAGGAGCAATTTTCAGTTCAATTATTTCCTACCGTCTTCTATACTTTTTTCTCTGTTCAGTTCATCTTCTTTATTTTTTCTCCTTTAACTTTATCGTTTCTATTTCTTCTCTGCTTAATTCAACCACATCAGCAAGCAATGGAAAAAGTAATAGTGTGCATGCCTTTTATGAAGCTATGAAATTAGGTTGAGGCAAAGGATTATCAGTTCTTATGAAGGTTCCATAAGAGTAGAAACAGCCAGAGCAGACTAAAGAAGTTCTCTAAATATATACCCACATGTAAATAAACTTGTGGTGGTAGCCTCCTATCCATCTTTGAAAAAACTGTATGATCTGCATGGTTTTCTTATGTATAAGAAATGGAATTAATGTATGTAAATATTAGCAAGTATAAAATGTCTTGTTTTCTCCTTAAAACATTGATATATGCTATAATACATACAGACTACAAATGCATATTTAATTCACGATCTAAAAACTCATTGGAAGAGTGTCATGATTGTGTTGAACGTTTTACCTCCATCATAATCCCAAATTTGAGGCTAGTCTTTCCATTTATCAACGGTACGAAATTTCTCGGTTCTTTTTAGTCTATGTTTGAACTAGCTATAATCGAAAAGCACAAATTCCAAGAAATTTGGGCGTGTTTAAACAAAACATAACCATCACATTTAAGAAACTCCAAACTCTTGTTATTATAATTAAACAAATGTTAATGAAAGATACAAGGTACATGAAGCAAGTCATTCATTTCAACCAAAATCAACCAACTTACTGCAGTACACTAAAATACCAAATTCAGATTTTCACCTTGCCTCTATTTAACATAATATAACTAGTTCAACATAACCCACTAATCAAGCCATGTCCGTCCCTTTCATTTTTCCTTTGACATGTGATTTTCCTCGACGGACCGTCATATTCACATTCACAGAATTCAAGATTTCTTCTTCATTATTTACCCACGAGTAGTGTACTAGAGTTGGGCGATTGCTGGGGATGGGACGACGCCGAAAGAATGGAGACTGTAGGAGCTGAGCATTTGCCGAAAATCCCAAAACATCCACTTAAAATTCCATACTGGTCATTTCTTGTTCCAAGTACTTGGACCTGAAAGCAGAATTCTCATATGGAAAACATGCTGATGCAAGATCATAACAATTGAAATTGTAGTTAGAATTAATTAAAATCCTCACTGATCTTTTGTTGCTTATTTGGAACGAATTTTTCTTCTGTTTGATAAATCCTACACAAAACCCAGTCATCAAGTTGCAAAGAAGGGAAATTTTTTAATTAGGCTGCAGAAATATTGAAAAGAGCTTCTTCTAACTTCTATATCAAAATTCCAAAATTTTCATTATACATCTTCTTCAACATTGCACGTCTTTTAGCTAAATTTCGTAACAACATAACCCCAGCATGTCGATCTCAATTTCCAGTATCCACCACAGCTGAATATAACAAAAAATAAAATAAAACATAAAATAGCAGAGATTATCAATTCAAATAACACTTCGGAAAAACAAGTGTCAGTCCTGATTTCTTAAACAGCAAAAAAAGGAAGAGAAAATTAAAAAATTACCAATAAAAACTACAAAATTGAGCTGATTAGGAGAGAGAGAGTCGAAGCTGTCGAGCTTAGATCTCTCTCTCTTTCTCAAAACAAATATACATATAGGAAGTTGTTGTATAGCTCCGGTGGGTATTTTTATTTTATCTTTTCACTTTTGATTTGGAGATGGGAGGACGCCAGAAGAGCAGAGACCGTCGGAGCTGAGGCTAAAATTTCAGCTCAAATTAAGCAAAAAAATTCCAACAAAAAATTCACACCATACCCGATTTCGCAAATGGAGAAGATGGACTGGAGGAGCAATCATGTTCAATGTCGGATTCGTCGACGAAATAAGCAACGTGAGAATCAGTCGCAATCCCACTTCATTTTTTGCCACCCTAATTTGAGAATTTTCGCCTCTATCAATTTCTGGGACAGTAAATGGGAGGAAAATGGTGTTTGAATTTTTGAATGGGTCAGTAAATGGGTCAAGATTATTGCCAACATCTCAGCCATCCATTGCCTTTTAATCTCGTCCGTACACGTCACTTTGTAAGCCTACTTTGTCAAGCTACTTTGTACATGTAGCATTATTGTTGAAAATAAAATGGAATCACAAGGGTTTGAGTGAACTGGAATCGCAGGCTCGCAGGAACAATTGGAGTAAGGGGGAAGGGTTTGGGCTGGTATATAACGTCGAGACTGAGTTGGATTTCGGGCTGAAAAGCATGGGCTTGTAAAAAAATCAAAAAAACCAGTGGGGGCACCCTTAATGGGTCTGCCGAGTAATGCTATTAATAGTTTTCACTGTCGGTGATCATCCTCTATGGCATACACTTGACGATTTGATATTTGATACATTGATATGGTAGTTTTTTTTTTTTTTTTTTAAATAACTTGTACATCAAATAGAAAACTATCATTTGTATGCCCCATGGGCCAAACGCAGGTAGTTTTCACTCCGAATAGCATTATTCGAGTCCGCCCTTGGTAGGCCTGGGCCTGATTTGGTTTGGGTTAGTTTCGACTCCAATCTAAAACCAAAACCAAATTAGTCGGTTCGGGCGAATCTTAACACAAACCAACCCACTCTATCTTTTAAACCAAATTGAATCAAACCAAATCGGTTTGGTTTGGTTTGGTTCGATTAGTCGGTTTGGACTTTTGGTCCAAGTAGAATTTTTTTTAAAAAAATTGTCCAAGTTTTAAGCTCACTTAAATTACAAGAACTAAAATAATCAAATAATTTAATATTACAAGAACTATTGACTAAAAAATAAAATCAAGTTAATATAGACGAATTAACAGAAAAATTAAATTTTTTTTATATATTATATATTCTGACTACCTGAGTAGAGAAAAATATTAAGTATAACCTAATGAACTTATGAAATGAAATTTTCAGTGCCTTTACATATCGGCAACATTATAGATTAGAGGGAATCGAGAAATATTTATAGAATTAGGGCTAATCTTTTTACTTTAATACTTTTCTTAAATTTGAAAAAAGGTAAATATATAAGTCGACTAGGTTGGTTCGGTTAACCAACGGTTTGCGATTTTAAACCATGACTTGACTGACCCACCATGGTTTTGTTTAAAAGAAAACCAAACAAAACCAATTATCAATGTCTAACCAACCCGAACCGAACCTACTCGGTTCGATTTGATTGATTTGGTCGATTTTTTGATTTTTTTGACCAGGCACCAAGGGGGTAACTTGAAGTCGACCTCTACAGACGGAGTGAAATTGTATACAGTATCCGACAGTCACAGCTTCGCCACTTGGCTCCCTCCCAAAAAGCAAAAAGCTCTCCGTAAAAATCCAGGTACAATGGATTGCCTTTCTTTCTTGGTAAAATACAGACCTTTTCGTGTCAAAATTGAAACATTATCGATCATGGTAGAGGTGGCTTGATGCTTACAATGGTTATTTGGAAACATATTGTCTTCTTTTAATTAGTTTTGGGATAAAGGTTCGTTTTTTACTTTATTTCATTTTAGCCCTTGTTTGAACTGCATTCTTGTCAAAAAAAAAAAAAAAAGAATTTTCAAAAAAATACATTTTTGATGAGAAATGTATGGTTAAAAAATAAAGAAAAGTCACGAATTTAAATATAATATTATTTTACTGAAAAATGTGTAGTTGAAGTGGGGTCAAGCACTATTCAAAAATGTATTTTGATAGAAAAAAGGGAACCCAAACAAGGGTTTAATTTATTGGATGCTAAGCCCCGTTTGGCCCCCATTATTTCTCATCAAATTAAATTAAATGTTTCTCTCCCCTATTTTCCACCACACAATTTTCAATACAATAATATTACACGTTAATCAAAAACTTTTCTTTTATTTTCAACCTCTCATTTTTCAAAAAAAAAAAAATACTATTCAAAACATTATAATTTCCAAATAATGGGGGTCAAACGGGGGCTAAGATGCTTTTGAAAGTTTAAAAGAGATTAGTATTGATTTTAATTTTCCTCCTGGTAAGTTTTTGTAAATGATCAGTTTCATTTTGGGTCTACTTCTAGATTATCAACGAAGAGTGGATTTGATACAGGATTTGAGATTTGAAATTGCAACTACTAAAATTAAGGAGATCCTTGATGGCAAGTGTCTAATAGCTTCAGGTGAATTCTAAATTTTGTTTCGTAACATTCTGTTTGTTACTTGGATTCATTTTTTAACTTTAGGTACTTAACCCACCACAAATCAAGGTGTACGATTAGAAGGAATTATCTTTGAAATTTGAAAGAAATTTCGTAACCGAAATCATTAATTTCCAGGTACTATTTTTTTAAAAGTTCACTAGAATTGGAATTTGATTGAATGAATATGTTTGCTATTTTTACCTCTAAAGTCTTTTCTACAATTGGTTAGTTACATTCAATTAGTCTTTTGTCGAAGTTAAAGAAGACCTGAAACAAAGATTCACCCACTTATCTCTTTATTACCAGTGAAGAACTGCACTGCTTCGTTTGGTTAGGAAAGTGAAAAGGAAGAAAGATGCATGTGCATAAATGGTCCTAACAATTATATTTTATCACGATATTGTTAAAAATTGAATGTTTGATGTTTTGGTTTCTTTTTCATTATGTATGAAACTATGAATATTTATGCATGGACCTCTCTATAGAAGTTTCGTTACTTATTCAAAGCTTCCATTGATGCCTATTCAAGCACGACCATATTGCTTCATGAAGTATTATTTTCAACAAGTTTTGTATTGGAACATAGACTTCTGTTGAAAGTTAACAAAGATAAAATTTACTCCTGTTTCACATACTATTTATTTTATGGTTCTTATACATAGGTATAATTTTGACCTAGTAGGTATTGGATGATGACTATTCTAAGATTGCATTTCTCTACACTGATCGCTCTGTTTGTCTTCATGCTAAATGTGGAAGTCACTATTTTTTGCAAATCCCAAGGTTCTCTTTCCTTTGACAAATATAATATGCCGTATATATGTAATTTATTGGTTCCCAACTCCCAAGGTCTTCTCTTCTTGGTTTCTTTGTATTATCTCTGTAACTCCTAAATTTTGAGGAAACTTGCATTTTTCATGTTCTTTCAATGAACTTTTTAATAAACTTTTTCTTTTTCTTTTGTTTTTTGCCTATGAAAAAAAATGTTTATTGAAAAGTAAGTCTTAGAAATTGAGAATTCAACGAATTTCAACTGAATTATAAACTTTAGTGTGCTTTTATTTAGTGGAAGAACACAGTTAAGATTGATTTAGAAGATCTTGAATAACATAATATAGTTAAGCGGATTTGCTTATTATAGGGGCGGATCTAGGAATTTAGAAGAGGGGGGCTGAACAGTGGGCTGAACACTGATGGACTAACACGTCGTTGAACCAGGCCAACCCAAGAATTTCGAGGCCTTAGGCAACTAATTACTACGAGGCCCTTATGTTTTGCAATTTCTTTTGTAAGTGTTATACTCAATTTTAGTTTTCCAGTAATTATTTTTGATAGCTTCATGATGCTCCTAGTTAATGCTAAAAATTATATCACAGAATAATTATAGTTCATACATGAACTTCTAAAAATCAAGTGCAAATACACCTTTTAAAAGGTTAATTCGAAAGTTATAATACTGAGCTGCTTTTTCTGGGGTACCATCAGTCATCTCCGTCCCATTTGCCATTTCTTAGATGTAAAAGCCATTGTTCACAAGCAGAAATAACGTGTGTGACACCCTATAAATCAAAATCCTTCAGAATTAATGAACTTATCCTATATGCATGAATATTTCGATTCACAATTTCTTTCGAGTATATTAAATTTTCCTAGAGAACAAGACAACACAAACGTCAAATACAAACGGATCTAAATTTTGCTGATCTAAGCTCCATTATTTTCTCAAGTTTTGATTGATTGAAGCCAGTAATACCATTTTCAACTTTTCTTTCACAGACTCTTTCAACCCAAAACCAAAAGTTCACAAAATATGAAGATTCAAGAACACGTATCTCATCAAAAGAAATTTCTGAAAAACACGCACAACAACAATATAAAATTTTACCTTGGCTTAGTTTGCTGAAATTTTTGGAAGTCTTCATTGGAATCAAGAATTTCTTGCGTGAATAAAGGACCCGATCCAATTTCTGTAAAGTGACGATAAATGCAACAATATTGTGTGGGAATTAATAGATTTTCTGGAGGAGATTTCGAGAGAAAATAGGATACAGTTAAAAGGATGATAAGAAACATTCAGAATATAGTATTTGGCCAGTAAAAGTTTATTTTACAATCATAAAAGATATAGAATTTACCCAGATGCTTCATGGCCAAATTTTAGAGGAAACCTGGGTGCCTGCCAAAAAAAAGTCTGAGTTATTAAGCAATAAATATTTATACTGGACCCATCCGAAGAAGATAGATCTAAATAAGCAGCACAATCCCAACCCTCAATAACAAAATAGAGGGGGAGGAATGGGACCAAGCCAATTTGGAATTACTAGGCATCAGTTCAATTCGCATAATTAAAAGAGAAATTAAGAAAACATTCTCAATGATTTCAACGAAAACAAGAAAACAAAGCAGAAATATAAGGAAATCGAACATTCGAACTGACAATAGAAAGAAAAATAAATATCACCAATCGGCTTCGACAACTCTAACTCTAATCTTGATAGCATAGTCTTAAAAAATGCCGCCATTAAATAATATTAATCCATCAAAACTTAATGCATCAACCAAATTAAAAAAAAAAAAAAGCATAAACTCCATTACGCAAAACGGAATGGGAAAAACCCCTCATTTAAAATTGCAGGACGCAAAATGCACCATAGAAAATGAACAAAACAAAAAGGAAATTGAATGATATGGAATTTAGGGTAAGCGAAATCGATTACCCAAAGAGTTGAACGATATGGAAAAACTCTTATTTAGCATATTTACTTCTTTAGATTACATAATTATAAATTACTCACTCAAAAACCCTAATCATACCATGATACCAAAGAGGGAACAACCGAACAAGGACGTCGACGACGACTCGTGGCTGTGGTCAGATTGGGGAGGAAGTAAGGAACCATTCGAACACCGACTCAATGCAAGGAGGAAGCCAATGGGCAATGGAATATCAATATGAAAAAAAGTTGAACCCCAACCTTAAGGGCCATCACGGAGGAGGTAAATCGTAGGATGTGTCTCCCAGGAGCCAGGGTGGAGAGCACATGGATAGGTCAAGGCTGTTAACCCATATGGTAACTTCCGTTTGCAACAAAGCCAATTCCACCTTGCGGGGAATCGAACTCTGCACACTGCCGCGCTAAGCCCTATCCGCCCTCCCCTTTGCCACTGTGAGATATGCCTTGGGAAAAGTTAAGTTGTATCGGTATTGAAAGGGCTCGATGATGAACATATAACAGTACTCCGTCAATCATTCCTATGGTCCTTCTATCCGTTGAAGGACATGCAATTTTTCACCCAAATTATTGATTCCTTATTATTTTGGCTTCGAAAGCCAGTCGATCGACCTTTGAATACAACTGTGACTAAATAATTAATTAAATAAACAAAATAACCAATGAAATATTTAAAGAAGAAATTAAATTAAGTATTAATTTTTTATTTCAGTAAGTCTTCAAAATAAATAATTAAATAAAGTAATTCTAATAATGTCTGATTACGATCCTATGAGCAAATTAGAAAACTGTACTCAATCCAGCATATAAACTCCCACCAGACTCATGTCTTTATCTGACTACAATCCCGTGAACTAATTTTGTGTGTAATAGTGAGATCACGGTGAGTAACTCTCAAGAATAATATTTAGATGTGAAAGATTGATAGGGTTTCGGCTTACTGGGAATTAGAACTAGTACATTTTCTAACTATTTTATGAAAGTAAAATGTAGTATTACTAGTTACGTAGCTTTAACATTTTCACACAATCAATACGTTCTGTATTTCGTTCTTTCCAAACCATAAATAAGTTCATTAATTATTTAGGCATACAAGCAATCATTTTTTCTATCCAAACCACGACTCATAAGTAAATAATAAGTTTAAAAACAACAAATAAAAGAAAGAACAATGAAAACATTAATTTTATTAACAAGTTCACAACACATATCCTCACTCGATATCTAAACTAAACTAAACTAAAATTATTCCAAAATTATATGAAATGAAAAAAAACATATATTTTCAACAATCCAAATCATAATTCAACAAACTACATCAACAAATCACGTCTAAAGTTTCAGAACCCTCGACATAAACTTTCATTTACCTAACATTTAACGCTTGTCTGCCCTTTTGAATGAATCGCCAGTGGCCTTTGCGTGTTAGTCTGTTAATTTTTACCTGAATTGCCTCTTTTTCTCTTTTCTTGTGGCAAGTCTCAGATTCCCATTCAAGTCATTTTTTCGTTGTTCTTTCTTTTGTTTGTTGTTTTCAAACTTAATATACACTTATAAGTTATGGTTTGGATATAAAAATGACTGCTTGTATACCTAAATGATTAATGAAATTGTCTGTAGTTTGAAAAGAACGAAAGATAGAGCCTGTTAAAACATTAAAGTTTCATAACTAGTACTTCTACATTCTACTTTCATAAAATATTTAGAGAATGAAATTCATTAGCTCTCAATAAGCCGAAACTCTATCAATCTTTTTACATCTAAACATTATTCTCGAGATAGTTGCTATTCACCATGGTTTCATTGTTCCACACAGAATTTGTTCACAAGATCGTAATCAGGTAGAGACATAAGTCTGGTGAGAGTTCATGGGCTGGATCGAGTACACGATCTTTTAATTTGTTCATAGGATCGTAATCAAACAAGATCATGATTACTTTATTTAATTATATAATTTTAAAGACTTACTGAAATAAAAAATTAATATTTAATTTAAATTTTTGTTTAAATATTTCATTAATTAATTATTCTAATTGGTTACGTATATTATTTAGGAAACCTCAAAAGTTTACAGTTTTGAAGAGTTTGATAAATTCATGAGGGAGATAGAACATAAATCACACTGGTGAATGAGAATATATAACAAATATGAAAGTCGAACATTATGCATGGTAACATTTTCCAAGATATCAATACAATATGATGACGTTGAACAATGTGGAGTCACTCAATACATTATTCAATAATGCTGAACCTATATTTCATCTACCAAATGAAGTCGAGATTCTATCACTTTGAGATTCAAATATTTGTACTTAATCCCTAAAATATTAGACATTAATTAATTAGGTCCCTAGACTATATTGTCTACATGATATGGCCCTAAAATTTAATGTAATGACTAATTTTGAAGTATGAGGTATCACAACAAGCGTGTGAGTTTCATATTAATTCTGCCCCTTCTTCATTTCATCTCAAACTCCACATTAGTTAACCTTTTTACAGGGGTTGTGCCCTTTGTGACGCCCCGAACTTAAGTTTCGAGTGTCACGTACAAAACATAATAGTTTCTGCCTTTGGTACATGTAAACACTTTTAAATAGAAGTATTACATGTTAGAAACTTATTCTTAACTTAGTAAAAGGTCTCTCATAAATTTTTAATGGCCCGCAGAAGCGCATGTCGACAAGAAATTATACTTTACATAAACGGACTCTGCACTGCCACGGTTAGTTGGGGCAGCAAGTTTGACTATTTTTATAAAATTCATCCCAACTCTGTTTTCTATGAATTTACGACATTAGAAAGATATTTTCAAGTAGTTTTCTAGGTTAAAATATAAAAAATTTCCAAGATCATATAATATGGGCGTTTTACTCAAAACAATGAGGTATTGCACAGAAATTTCAGATTTGACCCTTCAACGTTTAAAAATTCATATCTCAGGCTACAGATATCCAAATTGAGTGATTCTTGTGCCCATATTAAGAAAACTCAATGAGAAACACAATAATATTTTCAGAGTCTCAAATGGACGTTTATGGATTCAAAAATAACGTGTTGAAGTTGACCCAAAAACTGTCCCGTTTCTGCCTTTTGTCACTTACAAGGAGAAGTTTTTTAAAAAAAAGGTCTCTTAACACAACATAGAAGATATAATTGCATAATTTACTTCTGGTACCATATTACATCATGTCTCATACATGTTTTTATACAATACCATAAGAAAACATATGGAAAGAAGTTGAACAAAACATGCAAAAACAAAACTTCGATGCAAAACAACATTGTCCCTAACCCATCATCGATTATGCCGACTGACTTCTACCAACTCCGCAATTATGAATCTGAGAATTTAGTATAGAACATTATGAGTATAAAGAATACTCAGTAAGACACCATGCTTGGATTTTAACATGTTAATACTACACAAAAGAATGCAATCAAACACATACTTGCACATTCCGGCTTGCCGGTGCCCTTCGGACTTGTCCTGAAGCATAAATAGATATCTAACTTTATGGACTTGTCCACGTCTTTCATATTATGGTTTTCATGCATAACTTAAGCATAAATATTACCATGAAATCCAACCACTTAAGCATAGAAAATATCTTGCAATAAAACTTGAAGAAATTTTGGTTGAAAATGAATTGAGAAATGCTAGGCTGGTCCTCTTCTTCCCTCACGTTTTCTGCCCTTCTTTAAACAATTGATAAGTTGTTTTTCATGCAATGGAAATAAAGGGCAGCATCACATCTATTTATAGGTGAGAAAAATGATAAATTTTGGGTGACTCTTCAAGAGATTCAACATGTGTAGGCTGCATGGTTTCATTTTCTTAAATTTAAAACACCTCATGCATTAGTTAGTCACCTCATGCTTAAATTTAAAACACAAAACACCTCATGCATTAGTTAGTCACCTCATGCTTAAATTTAAAACACCTCATGCATTAATGTTTCATGATTTTTCGGCCAAGTTGGAGGAACAATGTTTAACTTTAGTAATTAGATGTAAAATGGACATTTATCCCAAACCCCTAATTAACAAATTATTTGAAAAAACTTTTAATAAATCAACCAATGCAAAACTTGGCAACCATAGATAATTTTTTGGTCATACTAAATTTTGAAAAGTTAAATTGCTATTCTAAAAATTAAATGAGCACAAAATTCGGAGTATTACACCCTTGATTAGTATTGTGATATATAATCGGCATGTGCTCCAAGTGCATGGAGAAATGACAAATTGGTCGGTATTGGTGTCATAATTATCAAGCAACCTGCCTTCCCAATTGAGATCATTGTATCATGCAGTCACTCAAATTCTTCAAACCACTTCATCTCGGCATCTTGGACGTTCTATCAAAGCTGGTTGGTATAATTGACCCAATGGACGTTTCCACCACAAATTCACTAAGGGCAACACAGTTCTATCAGGAGAATCTAGTGTTAGGCTAAAGAACATGGAGGTTTGAATATGAAACTTTTCATTTCTATGCCTCAAGGGTTTTAATTATCTTGGCACACAAAAAATGTGAATCCATCCAATTTTTTAAAAACTTTTTTTTGCAAGATTTCCATTTTTTGACGAGGCATGATCAAATCCACCTATTAGATGCACATCTAGCATGGTATCAAAAATTACGATCAGCAACCAAAGATAACATTTGGTTGAGGGCAAATATCATCAACTTTTAGAGAATCTATATGAGCAAGAGAAGTCTTGCTTCTGCCGAAATCATCTGAATTGAATTATTCCAAAGGATAGGACAACTTATCTTATTTTCCTTCTTTGTGAAGTACATAACCATACATGCTAAGAATTAATCCCAATTACACAATCCTTTGTTCCCAACTTGACTAATATGAGGTAGACTCGTGGTTTTCGCAACTTACCAATGATTTTATTAGATTGGTTAAAGTCCCTCTTGATCACTTACACTTGGTGCCCATCCTTGGCCAGATAGTAAGCCAATGTAGAGCTAGCTAACGGGCTCCAACAACAACCACTTGTGGTCCTCCATCTTAGGTAGGCTGTAAGTGACATGGCTTGTATCACGGATCCATTCATGTTTTCTATCCTTCGGGGTTTATAATATGGCCCAGTCTCTCTGGTTGAATAGGATCCCTTTGTATGCAATTGCCTTCCAACACCTCTTATGAATTGATGGTAATGGTGCCACTATGATCTCTAGAATAGTAGATAGGATTATCACCTCAAACC